TCGCAGAGCTGGAACACATGCGCAACACACCAGTGCTGTACAGTACAGCACTGGTGTGTTGCGCATGTGTTCCACTATGCATGCAGGAGACTGGGGTCACTTCGCACACGGAGACGTTTGACAACGGCTATATGATTATCTTGTCGGGCACGTCACAACCACTGGGCGGAAGATTTGATTACGGCGTCGGTTTCTTGATTGCACCTTGGGCCATCAAGTCGGTCATCAATTACAAGCTTATTTCGGACAGGCTTGCCATCTTGAAGCTTAAGGTTAGGGGCGGCGTGCTGAATATCATTTCTGCTTACGCCCCCCACGGAGGTTACGATTATGAGGTTCGACGCGAGTTTTTCGACCAGCTAGCTGACATTTGCCCGGCACAGCAATCACGTTTGCAGTGTTGTTCTGGGTGACCTCAATGCTAGGCTTTATGACCGCGAGCCTGGCGAGGAGGACATCATAGGGGACTATATGTTCCGAAGCTCGTGGCCAAGAATATCAAAACATCTGAACAGGGAGCTTCTCTTGGAAACTTGCAAAGCACTGGGGGGCGCCATCGCCAATGCGTTTTTCGAGCACCCCCTGGAGGAGCTAGTCACGCACTGTGGGACATAAGTCGACAAAACCAGTCCAGTGGGGGAGGGTCTCGCTCAATTCGACGTTGCCTCACGGACTACGGCACAATCAATAAGATAACAGATCTTTGGGCAGACCGGTCATGTTCATTGGCTTCGCGTCAGTTCTTGCTACGCATGCCCATCGACCTGGAATTAACACTCGGCCAATGAAGAACTTTTGCAAACAGATGTTGTTCAATGGGTAGCAGCTGGCTGAAGCTTATGGTCGCTGGTTTTGCGAAGCCGCATGATTTGAATATGGACTCGCACTCCAGCCGCGTCAAATATGCCACGGGAAATCCAGCCACCATACTTCGACCAGCCGGGAGGGTACCGCGACGACCGTGGATCTCTGCGCTCACGATTGGTCTGGTGAATGAACGAGATGATGCTCAACAGCAGGGCAATCTGGCGGAGCTGCAGAAGCTGAACAAGCGCATCAAGGCGTCGGTGCAGAAAGATAAGCGTGACTGGTTGGATTCTGAACTGGCCGGAGGCCACTGGGAAGCTGCGCGCGCATTGTTACAACAAAGTACCGAAACGACCAATCCAGATTCAGGATGAGCGAGGGCCATTCGTGGAGAGCACTAGGTGGGCTGATACTCTTGCAGATTACTTCGGACAAGTGCAGCGGCAAGTTACTTATGCTACCCCTGTACCCAGTGGGCACGACGACATGGGGGACACATTGCCAATTTACGCCGGCGCCGTTGGGGTGCAGCAGCTTCAGGAGGCATTGCGGGCTTTAGCTACAGGGAAGGCTGCAGGCGCAGACGATATAGCCCCAGAGCTTTGGAAAGCATTGGCGCACTCTTCAGAAGCATGCGGAGAACTGTTGGCATTCTTTCAAAAATGCTGGAGCGAAAAAGATTCCTCGCGAGTGGCATGCATCCATATTTGCACCCTTACGTAAAAAGGGCAAAGCGACTTTGCCAGAGAACTATCGGTCGATATCTTTAGTCACGATTGGATATCAGCTTCTTGCCTGGATGTTGCAAAAAACGCATTCAAAAGGGAGGGGCCGAGAAAATAATGCGATCTAGCCAGTGCGGCTTTCGTCCTGGAGGAGGCACGGCCCAAGCCATTAGCATTGCACGGCGGATGTTCGAAGCAGCGCAAACAGCCCAGGCACCAGGTCTGGTTGCAGTTTTGTTAGACTGGTCCAAAGCGTTTGATGGAGGAAGCATGATGCACTTTTGGAAGCTATTCGTAGATTTGGCCTACTGGCGGACATGCTGGACATGGTGGCAGCAATGCACAAGTGCAGGGGTTTCATTCTAAAGGACCCAACTGGGAATTCAAGCTTGCGGAACCAGGCAGCAGGAATTACCCAAGGCTGCCCTCTCACGCCATACCTGTTCATTATCGTGCAGAGCGTGATGTTCTACGACATCGGCAAGCGCATTGATGGCCTCCACGCTGACATCCGGGAGCCAGAATACCTGGTGTGCCGTGACATCCCTTACGCAGATGATACCATGCTCCTCAGCAGCGACTCTGGGGCATTACAGACGTTGCTCGACATTGTAATCGACGAAGGCAAAAGGTACGGCCTGAATCTGAGCTGGGGCAAGAGTGCGCGCATGAACGCGTGCAATGGTGGTGTGATCTTCTCACCCACAGGAACCCCACTCACAGTGGTGGAACAAGCAGTGTATCTAGGGGGCCTGCTGAACGCGAAGTGCATCGCAAAGCCAGAAGTGACAAGGATAATCGGTAAAACCAACAGCTGTATTCAGAATGTGTTTAAGTGTTGGTCGCACGCCAACATCAGCCGCGCCAGGAACATATAACTATACAGAGCTATGGTTTTGCCCCCCCAAAAAAAGTTGAATACTTTAGAGACGCTTTGGCTTCCGCAGGCAGGCAAACACCGTTTGGACAGCTTCCACGCGCAATGCTTGAGGTGAGTTTTAAGAACTCCTAGAGCATATTTTTCACGAGTGTCTAATAAAGCAGTTCTGGAGCGAGCCAGGGAAGGCCCTTTGAGCGCCACGCTCCGCTGGCGCCAGGCAGCGTTGCACAAGAAAATCGCAGCGCTGCCCGCGGACAAACCTCTCAGACTTTGAATTTGCCAGCCTGGCACTGACTTGCCCAGAAGATGGGCGCACTGGCGTCGCAGGGGGAGGCCGCAACAGCAGTGGGCCCCTTGCGTGTGTAATCATCTGCCGACGCATTCGACGTAAGTTTCCTCCACCTCCTCCGTCCTCCTGCTCCTCTTCCTCCTCCCCCCCTCGTCCCTTCTTTTCCTCGCAGGTGGAGCCGATGCGTTTTCATGGACTTTCGTATCGAGCAGTGTGCTTCAAAGTCGTGGGGCGCTCTGCTTTCTCTGCTTCACAGTCGGGCGTTCTGTATAACCTGTTGAATGTCGTGCTTGTCGCGCGGCCGAAGGGTAGCCAATTGCGCATGTTTCTGCCCACGCGCCCCTCCAGAAATCCGGCTCAGTGGCGGCAGTGGTGCCCAAGAGCCGTGCCAAGGCTGGCGCATAGCTTCTGTATAGCATTGTACTAAGTTTGTTATGCCAGTGCGCCGTGCGAGCGCCAGGCCTGGCTCACTGATTGACTGACGAACAGTGGCACGATCACCACCAGAGTCGCGTCAGAAACTGTTGCCCCATGGGATCCTGGACCCAGGTGAGTTCGAACGAACGCAAGCTCAGTGCGCGCTTTGATTTCCAGCTAGGCTTAGGGGTGCCCCCGGATCGTTCTTCATTGCAGAGCCGAGTCCCTGCCTTCAGCGCCGACAGACGGGGGGTACGTACCTGTTCATCGATGCGCGACGAGCAGCTAAACAGGCTGCTCGCTGGCACGAGGTTAGCGAGAAACTTGCGTTTGGAACGTTTCCTGACCCCAGAGAGTTGACGCGCTGCCTGTTGGTGGCTGTCACATTCACTGGTCGAATAGGCCGCAGGCCAGGATGCTTGGGTCGGGTCTCTAGTGGCGGATAGGCCTTCAAACCATCTCATAGCGCTTCAGGCGCGTGGGCTGGTCTTGGCGCATGGTACATGGTACTAGCGATCTCTTCTCGGCCGCGCATGGCGCGGTGCCCAAGGAGATGGCGCCACTCCAGCAGGCTATGGGGGGTGGGATTGCGCGTTTTGTCGACGTTGGCTAGTCTTGCAGAAAGTAATTTCAGGATTTGGACCGGCTGCGGGGGGGGGGGGCGCCTTCGGAGCATCTGGGATCGGGCGCCTGCGGCTTGCCCCTCGTGTCCGAGGGCCCTCTTGTTGCCCCGGGCCTGGCGTGTTTTTGGAGATGGGAGTGTAGTTCATAAAACGCGGGGGCACGCCACCTTCATTAATGACATTGGAGGACGCTCGTCTCACTTCGAACGCGATGGCAACACGCGCGCAGATATGACTGCCCAGAAGGGAGCTATGTTGCATCCTGGCGCGCAAACCGCGACGGCCGATTTTGCGGAGCTCGAAGAGACTCAGATCGAGGTTACTAGATGTGGAGGTATCCAGGGTGTGCTGATGAGCCGCCGAAATGGTCGGACTCGATCGGCGTCCCTGGCGAGGCTCTCGAGCATGGCAATGGCAGCCAGGCCCAACCCACAGGTGCAGCACGAGTGCGCTTGGTTGAAAAACAGGAAGGTTCTAGAGGAAGGAGCCTGGGCCACATCGGCCGCGCGACGCCCTGCTGACCTCCTGGGCTTGATGCGGGCCTCGAAGAGAAGAGTCTTGGTCCAGGGGGAGCGTTGAGCCAATTTTGTTGACTTTTTGTCGGGCCTCACAGCTGCTTGCCCAGTTCCGCGCGACGAGCGTTGGGATGTCGACCGCTGGGATGTCCCGAAGCTCCTTTTCCAGGCTCGGGGCCCCATGTCCCGCCGGCACGATCGCCGCCCAAGGAGGCAGCCAGGGCGGCCCAGGCCCCAGGGCTAACCGTACTGTGTGCGTGTGCGTGTGCGTGTGCGTGTGCGTGTGCGTGTGCGTGTGCGTGTGCGTGTGCGCGTGTGTGTGCGTGTGCGTGTGTGTGTGTGTGCGCGTGTGTGTGTGCGCGTGTGTGTGTGTGTGTGAGTTTGTGTGTGTGTGTTAGGAGGGCAAGGCACTGACGATCTCTTTCGACACGCACATCGTGGCATAACAAGGATCGCGGGGAGGGAGAGGCAGGGGACGAGGAAGATGAAACTTGCGGTGGCTGTTGTCTCGTTGGTATGTGTGCGCACGGAGCGTGGAATTTCCTGAACATGCGATGCATAATTTCATAATCTGAGTTACATCAGTGCCGCGTTCACGTGACAGAGGAAGGCCCACACGAAATGAACGAGAAGGAGGGGCAAGGAGTAGGAGAAATGGGATCGGAGAAGGAGGGGTAGAAGGAGGAAATCAAGAGCGAAGGGGCAGAGGAGGAGGGGTGGGAGGAGGAGGATGATATGCGCCAGGTGACGAGATGAATCCTGGGCCGCGGGGGTTCTCCGAGCCCGAGTCGCAGTTGCTGCAGGAACCTGCCCGCCTCTCGGCCCACGGGGGGCGGGGAGATGAGAATGGGAGGAGCGCGGACGCAGCGTGGAAAGGAGGGTGCAGGATGCAGGGAGGGATGCGGGTGGGAAGGAGGATGAGGGGGGAGGGGAATGAGGGAGGAGGGAGGGGAAGGGGCAGGTGCTGGGGGAAGGGGGAGAGGGAAGGAGGGAGGGAGGAAGGGAGGGATGTCTGGCCAAGGATGGAAGCCAGGATGACAAGAGAAGGAGGAGGAGGAGGAAAAGGAGGAGGATGAGAAGAAAAAGGAGGCGGAGAAAGAGAGGAGGAAGAGAGAGGAGGAGGAGGAGGAGGAGAGGAGGAGGGAGAGGAGGAGGAGGAGGGAGGAGGAGGAGGAGGAGGAGGAGGAGGAGGAGGAGGAGGAGGTGGGGTAGGAGGAGGAGAGGAGGAGGCGGAGGAGGAGGAGGAGCAGCAGCAGCAGAGAAGGATCGAGGGTACGCGAAGGAGGAGAGGGGGGGGGGGGAGAAAGCAAGGGATACGGCCCACGCCCGCCCAGGCGCTCGCCCAGGAGGAACGCCCCGACCTTTTCGTGAGCGTGCACTCTGGCGCGCACCTCCTGCATCCCTGCACCCCCCCATCCGCCTCCTCCTCCTCCGTGTCCTCCTCCTCCTCCTCCTCCTCCTCCTCCTCCGTTTCCTCCTCCTCCTCATCCTCATCCTCATCCTCCTTCTCCTAGGCGGCTCCCCGGCGCGGCCCCGCGCAGCCGTCTTGCCCGCGGCGGGCGCGGCGCGCGGATGGGCCCGTGAGGACGGGAGCCCCCGGCCCGACGGGCGAGTGTGTGGAGGCGTGGGGAGCATCATTCGGGACGACCTGGATGGCGTGGACCGGGTGCGCCCAGCACGATGTGTACATGAGGCGCCCGTCCAAAGCCAGCAGGAGAGCCCGCAGACGGCTAATGCTCCACGTGCGCCGGCAAGCCGCCCTGGATCTCGGACTGGTCGAGCTGGACTTCACCACCTCCTGGCCAGCCTCGCCATTTGATTACGGATTCGTCGAAGGATGGCTGCAGGAACCTGCGTGCGATAAGTGGAAGACGAAGATCGAGCCCGATACGACCAGCTTCAGTGCAGAGATCAGGGCGTGCGAGAGGACGACGGCGAGGACAGAGAACGAGACGTGGGATGCGAAGCGGGAGGCGAAGACAGAGCCCACTATGACCAGCTACAGCGAAGCGATCAGGGCGTGCGAGAAGGGAACGGCGATGGAGCCCGACGAGCCCAGCTACAGCTCTGGGAACAGCGAGCGCAAGAAGTCGGAGGCGAAGCTGGAGCCCGACATGATCCGCTACAACACTGCGATCAGGGCAACAGTGGCGGAGGCAAAGTTGGAGCCCAATAGCACTAGCGCGTTCCCCCCGTCACCTCTCGTCGCCACGGCTGGATCAGTGAAAACGGCATGTGACACGGTTGTGGAGGCGAAGTTGGCGCCAAACGTCATCAGCTACAGCGCAGCGAGCTTGGATCCCGACGTACACAGCCCTAGCCTTGTGAACGGTGAGCGAGAGAAGTCAGAGGCGAAGATGGAGCCCGACAAGATCAGCTACAACGCCGCGATCAGGGCAACCGTGGCGGAGACAAATCTGGAGCCCACTATCGCTAACGTTTCCCCCATCGACCCCCCTCGTTGCCACGGCTGGACCCGAGAAAGCGGGGTGCGAGAAACGGGAAGCGAAGTTGGAGCCAAACGTGATCAGCTACAGCGCAGCGAGCGAGAGAGGAGCATGCGAGAAGGACGGGGAATGGCAGCCGACAGTAGACGTGGCCAGCTCGTGTGAGAAGAACGGACACTGGCAGCCTCAAAAAAGAGCGGCCAGTTCGTGCGAGAAGGACGGGCTGTGGCCGCTACGAGAGGCTGTCCGAGCGTGCGAGAAGAAGTTGGAGCCCAATCTCACCAGCTACAGCGCTGATGCCGACCCCACGATATGCGAGAAGCTGGAAGCGAAGGCGACGAGAGAGCCCAACGTGACCAGCTACAGTGCAGAGGGCCCTCGCAAGAAGTGGGAGGCGAAGAACGAGCCCAACGTGACCAGATGCAACGAAGCAATAATGGCGGAGGCGAAGCTGGAGCCCAATTTCCCTAGCTCCTCCTCGTCCCACCTTGTCGCCACGGCTGGACCCCAGGAGACGGAGTGTGTAAGCAGCTACAGCGTCAGCTGAGCCATGTGGAGAGCACGCGCCCACATCGCCAGGACGTGGCTAGAAGGCGGCGGCGCGATAGAGCCCGACGCCATCAGCTACAGTGCTGGTACCCAGTGGGAAGCGGAGGACATACACGGAGAGCGGGGGCCCCTCCCGAAGGCTGACCAGAAGAAGGCGGAGAGGCGACATCAAAGATCTCTCCACCCAGATGGTAAGAAAAACGGCACGTTCATCATCGCAGGGTCGAACGGGAAGCCCACGTGGCCCCTCGGAGCAGATGTCGACAGCATGCTGCTCCTGAGGGCCAGGAGGGCGACGGCTTCGAGCAGAAGCGTCAGGACACGACGCGCGTACGAAGCTAGAGAAGAGGAGCGCCGATTGTGAGAAGTGTGAGAAGTGTGAGAAGCAGCGGTGCCTGCGCGCGGACAGGTCACTGGAGTGCGGACGTCCGCCCGAGGTGCTGCTGAGGGGAAGCTCGGGCGACGAGGCGCGATGGAAACACACCTCACCACGTGAGACATGAAACTGCTGGAAAAAACTCATCCTCCTTCTCCTCCTTCGCCTCTTTCTCTCTCTCCTCCTCCTCCTTCTCCTCCTCCTCCTCCTCCTCCTCCTCCTTCCTCCTCCTCCGGACTCCTCCTCCTCATCCTCCTCCTCTTCTTTTCTTCCTCCTCCTCCATTCCCTTTCCGTATAAATATTTTCTCTTTGTCACACCTCGAGGCCAGTTTTCAGGGCCGACCAGGGCTTTCGTCCGAGACTTTCTCACCATTTATGGCCCTGAAGCTGAAACGTTGGCAACATATTCACAGATGGAGGGAGGTCCGTTTTCAAAATGTGGCTCTCGTCCCAGCGCCGCGTGCATTCGTTAAAACAACTGCAAGAGTTTTGACGGATCAAGGGCGGTTCCTTGTTCAAAAGGTTGCTTTCGCCGTAGCGTCGCAGACATGCGTTTTCACAAGTCGCAAGAGTTTCACGGATTGAGTGTGGCCCGTTTCAAAATGTGTTTTTCGCCTTAGCGCCGCGCGCATTCGTTGTAACATGTTGCGGGAACTTCACGGATTGAGGGCGGCTCCTTTTCAACATGTTGTTCTCGCCTCAGCGCCGCGCACATGTTTGTAAAGTTCATAAGACTTTCACGGATTCCCATGGTCAGCGTACAAGAAGTTGTATGCTGGACGGGCTCAGGATCATGAAGGTGCAACAGTTATGTTGTTTCGCGGTGTTGAAGTCCCAGGAATGGCGTTCTGGCACGGTTTAGGATTGTCAATACACAACAGTAAGGTCGATCCGTGGCGTTGGAATCCGGCGAGAACTGTTTTAGCATGCTTCAGGGTCTTCAAACGGTTGTCTTTCAACGAGGCAGTTTCCTCAACTGCAGTGAACCGTTGTAAAAGGGGCATGTAAAGAGGGAGTTTGGAGGGAGAGTTTAACCCAACATCGTCGATGGCTCTTGGGTGTACACTGGTTTTCCTCCTCCTCCTCTTTCTATTCCTCCTCTTCCTCTTCCCAACCCCTCCTCCTCCTCCTTTCTCCTCTCTCTCCTTCCACACTCCTCCCTCCTCCTCCTGCGAAGTGATGCCAGGGACGCTGCAACAGTCCCTGAATACGTTCATCACCTTACCCAGCGGCGACAGAAGTACAATCCTGCATAACATTTGTTGGGGAGGGATAGCAGGATGGACCAGTGGTGGACACGCCGCCCTGTTTCAGGAATCTCGGTGGTTTGAAGGCAACATGCGAGGAGAAACCTGGAGGCCCCAAGGGACAATACTTGGAGTCCCGGTTAAGCTAACTTTTTTTAGTGTGTACGCGCGTACCTTCAGATCTCTATGTTTCAGATAAGTGTGTATATACATGTGTATATATCAGAGCGAGGGGGCCGAACGGTCATTCATTGTTCTTGGGTGCGTGGCTTAAGGGCGGATCCGTGGTGAGGATTCTGCTTGTTGCGTTGTTGTTGTTGCTGTTGTTGTTGTTGCTGATGTTGTTGCTGTTGTTGCTGTTGTTGTTGTTGTTGCTGGTGTTGTTGTTGTTGTTGTTGTTGTTGTTGTTGTTTGTTGACGTCGTCCCCCCCGCGACCCACCCGCGACACACCCGCGACCCACCCCGCGACCCACCCGCGATCCACTCCGCGACCCACCCGCGATCCACCCGGCGACCCGCTCGCGACCCACCCGCGACCCACCCGCGACCCACTCGCGAGCCACCCGCGACCCGGCCCTCGACCTGGCCCGCGACCCACCCGCGCGTCCCACCGTCGACCCACCCGCGACCCACCTGCGACCCACCCAACCCGCAACCCACCTACACTGTTTTAACCAAAAATCGGCGCCTGCGGCGGGCTCATTGTATAGCTTGAAAATTTTGCGCCTGCAGCGAGCTTCTTCAGAGCCTCGCAGACTGCAGAAGTCCCCACCGCCCCCTCACTCTTATCCGCAACTGCGGGGTGCTACGTGTGTGTATATATATATATATGTGTGTATACATACGTGTGTGTGTGTGTGTGTGTGTGTGTGTGTGTGTGTGTGTGTGTGTGTGTGTGTGTGTGTGTGTGTGTGTGTGTGTGTGTGTGTGTGTGTGTGCGCGTATCAGTGGGCATAACACTTGCGCCCTGCGTGCGTGGCCCAAACTGTTGGGCCCAAACTCGGCCATGCGAGACGACGGCGGTCGTGCACAGTTTCGACTCCATACTGCGCGCGTTTTGCCGAGTCCAGGGCGAACTCCCTCCCAAGGCCCCTCGGCCACGCGGTCAGGACAGCTGCAGGCAGCCGTCTGGCGACCTGGCCCCTGGAGTGTGGCTGCATGGGGCCTTTTAGGACCCCAAAGGGTGCTTTTAGCCACTGCAAAGTGCACTTCTCCCCTCCCATCCATCGCTGCCCCGTTAAGCGACGCCCAAGAGCGATGAGTGGGGCGCTGTTGGTATCCAGCCGCCTGCCCACCTCGCAGATGCAGTAGCATCAGCTTGGCCACGGAGAGCGCATACTTAGGGCCAACCACTTTAACAGTTGTTGGCTTAAGACACAACCACCCGATGCTCCAGGGACCCCCCGGGTTCGATCAGGCCAGGGCTGGCCGGCGGTATCATCCATTGCTGCCTGGCGCCTGGGTTGATTGCGCTCCTCCTCCTCGTCTTCCTCCTCCTCCTCCTCCTCCTCCTCCTCCTCTTCAGTTCTTTCAGCTTCATCCCGCCTCGTTCTCATCTTCCTCCAGCTCGTCGTCATCCCCCCTCGTCATTCCTTTTCACCGCTGCTCCTCCCTCCTCCAGATTCCTGCTCCCTGTGCCTCCTCCGGCTGCTTCCTTCCTCCTCTGCCTCCTCCTCCTTCTCCTCATCCTCCTCCTCCCTTTCCCTCCTTCGTTCCCATCCTTTGCTTCCCTCCTCCTCCTCCCTCATGCCTTCTCCTCCTCCTCGTTCTCCTCTGCCCTCCACTGCCCTCCTCCTCCTCCTCCTCCTCCTCCTCCTCTGCCCTTTGCCCTCCTCCTCTGCCTCCTCCTCCTCCTCCTCCTCCTCCTCCTCCTCCTCCTCCTCCTCCTCCTTCACTCCCCGGCCCCGGCAGGCGCGTACCTGCTGGGCACCCCGTACGGGTACACCCGGAGCAAGGTGCCCACGGGCGCCGCGGCGATGGCCGAGCTCTTGGGGCCCATCAGCAGGGACCACTGCGGAGGCGGCGGCCCTTACCGAAAATCTGGCACCTTTTTTTGGGAGGAGGAGGGGGAGGAGGAGAGACGAGGAGGAGAACGAGGAGGAGAACAAAGAGAAGGAGGAGAGGAGGAGGAGGAGAGGAGAGAGAGAGGAGGAGGAGGAGGAGGAGGAGGAAGAGGAGGAGGAGGAGGAGGAGGAGGAGGAGGAGGAGGAGGAGAACGAGGAGGAGAGAGAGGAGGAAAACGAGGAGGAGACTGAGGAGGAGGAGGAGGAGGAGGAGGAGGAGGAGGAGGTCACTGCGAAGGCGACTGCCCGTACGGCGACCTGGCGGAGCTGATCCACTACGACAGCATGGGCTGCGCCCCCAGCTGAGGTTCCAGGATTTCGGCTCGAGGCTCAAGGTTTTCGAGGGTTTTCGTGGGTTCCCGGCGTTTTTCCAGCCTGGGGCAGCCTTCAAGAGGCCGCGCCTTGCCGAGGGCGTTCTGGGGGTGCCAGGATCGTCCCGAACGGCCGCCGGAGAGCCGAGTTTTATGACACGAAAGAGCACGTCTTGGAAACGTCGCGACAGGAGATGTTCGGCCGATGTCGCCCTCCCCGGACCCTCGCTGGGGCCCGGGACTGTCAACAGAACGACTCGGGATGAAACACCGGCCCTGGGGAAAGAGCAGTAATTACTTATACTAGAAGTAGTGGTAGTCGGAACTAGTTACTCGTAGTGATAATTACGAGTACTACTCGTAACTACAACTACTGCTACGAGTAACTGGACGAGTCTCTGGATCGAGCGCGCCCTGGGACCCCGCCTCGAAGAAGCAGACTGTCGCTCGGGCTGCGTCCTGAGCGTTGCGGAGCCAGCTGGGGGGCTGCGGCGGCCCAGCACTCCTTCCGGCGGCCGGGCGCGGCTCGAGCAAGCTGTCGGTTTCGACCCCGCGAGGGGCCTGGAACGGATCTTGAGCGAGTTTGCCCTTATTCTCCCCCCTCCTGACAGATTGGAGAGGCCTTACGGCCGGCGCCGCCGACCCTGAACGACGACGACGACGACGACGACGACGACGACGACGGCGACGGCGACGACGACGACGACGACGACGACGACGACGACGACGACGACGACCTGAAAGATTTTCCTGTTGGCGGATTCAGCTCAGACCCCCGTGGCCCCCTCCAACCTGAGCGCCCCCTTCGCGGAGCTTCTCGAGATCTGCCTGGGCCTCGTGAAGGCCTCAGGCTCCCCTCTCCTCCTCCCTCCTCCCTCCTCCCTCCTTCCATACCTCCCTCCTTCCCTCCTTCTCTCCCCTTTCTCCCCCTAGCTGCTCAGGGAGCCCAGAAGCATCGCCCCAGAACGGCCGCCTCTCGAGCTGGGGCCCGAAAGCCGGCCAGAGCGAGGTACCACCGACACCCCGGCGCCGCGAGAACGCCTCGACGCGTCTTGTTCGCCCCGTTCTGGGCCCAGGGAAGCCTCCAGGACCGGCCCTGGCCGACGAGTGCCTTGCACAGCGATGGGGCCCAGGGATCTGGTCGTGCCTTGCACGGCGTGGTGTCTTTTTTTCCGCGGCGCTTTTTGGGCCATGGGGGAGCCTCGCGGACGGGCCCTGGCCGACGAAGGCCATGCACAGCGATGGGGCCCAGAGATCTGGTCGTCACCCTGCACGGCGCAGTGCCTCTTTTCCGCGGCGATTCGGGCCCGGGGGGGGCCCTCACAGAGCCCCCGGCCGACGAAAATCCCACACAGCGAAGGGGCCCAGAGATCCTCCCGCGACTTAGCACTTCGTAGTGTTCTTCCCCATGTCCTAAGCTGGTTGCCTGTCATTGCTCATGCGCCTCTGGACCTTCTCCCTCGCACCTCACACCCTCCTCCTCCTTGTCCTCGGATTCATTCACTCATGTTCAGACTCACCCATACCCAGACTCACTCGCACTCATACCCACTCGTACTCAGACTCACTCATACTCAGACTCACTCATGCTCGAACTCACTCACACTCAGACCTATTCACTCGCGATCAGACGCAGTCATATTCAGACTCACTCATACTCAGACTCACTTGGGCCACTGCTCACCGCGATGTAGCAGGCGTGGCACCTGTGCACCCCAAGTGTGAGCCGTCAGGGGTGGAGACGCTCCAGGAGTCGCGCCCAGATTGTGGGGATGTCTCGGGCGGTTTGCGCGTTTTGGTGCCCAACGTGTTCTGCTTCTGGAGCAGCTTGTGGGGATGTCTCAGGCACGGCGCTGGTTTCAGCACTCGCACGGGGGAGCCGCCAGGGGTGGGGAGACTCCAGGATTCGCGCTCAGATTGCGGGGCTGTTTTCGGGCGGTTTTCCTCTTCTTATGCTTTCGGAGCAGACCGTTTGGATGGTTCAGGCGAGGCGCTGTTTCCATCATTCGCAAGGGGGAATCGCCAATATTGGGAGCATCCAGGATTCGGGCCCAGATTGTGGGGATGTCTCAGGCTGCTTGTCTGTCTGGGTGCCCAACATAGTTTGTTGTCTGCGCAGGTTGTGAGGATGTCTCAGGCGAGGCGCTGGCTTCAGCACTCCCAAGGGGGAGTCGTCAGGGGCTGGGACATTCAGGATTCGCGCCCCGATTGTGGGGATATCTCAAGCGGTTTGCCTGTTTGGGTGTCCAGCATCCTCTGCTTTTGGAACAGATAGTGAAACTGTCTCAGTCCAGGCGCTGGTTTCAGCCCCCAGGGGGTGGGGACTCAGACCTCTCACGCTCACACCCACACTCAGACCACTCACCTTCACTCACAGTCATGCGCATAGCCTCACTCACTCTCAGACTCACTCACACTCAGACTCACTGGTTCCCAAATTATCGCACTCAGACCCGTTCATGTTAGACTGTCGCACGCAGACACTCGCAGCGGGAAATGTGCGGGCACATAGATGCACTCATGGGGATCTCCGCGTCGAGTTTTTTCTGTTGTCCGCGGCGCTCCGGGCCCAGAGGAGACCTCGCGGCTCGGCCCGGGCCGACGAAAACCCTCCACAGCGATTTGGCTGGGAGTCGAGCCGCGACTTTCCACGGCGCAATGTTTGGGTTTCGCGACCGGCCCTGGCCGATAGATCAAACGCAGCGAAGGCTCCAGAGGTGCGGTTGGTACCCTGCACGGCGCGGTGTCTGCTCCGCGGCGCCTCGGGCCCAGAGGAGGCCTCACGGGCTGGCCCCGGCCGACGAAAGCCCGGCACGGCGAGGGGGCCGCGACCCCGTACGCGTGCCTGGTGCTGTGTTGTTCGCGGCGTCGAATGTCGGGGTCTGCTGATCGCGAGGCCGGCGGCCAGCGATCTCGGCGCGGGGCTGCTCGTGCGATCTCGGGAGCGCCCGCTGAGCCGTGGTCGCTTCATGGTCTTCGAGGCGAGCGAGGGAAGTCGGCGGTGCGGTCGGGGCCGGGATCCGTCTGCTGGAGTAGGAGGGGGTTAGGAGGAGGAGGGAGGAGGAGGAGGAGGAGGAGGAGGAGGGGCAGAGGAGGAGGAGGAGGAGGAGGATGAGGAGGAGGAGGAGGGAGAGGAGGAGGGAGGAGGAGGAGGAGGGGCAGGAGGAGGGAGGAGGAGGAGGAGGAGGAGGAGGAGGAGGAGGAGGAGGAGGAGGAGGAGGAGGGGCAGGAGGAGGGAGGAGGAGGGATGGAGGGAGGGGGGAGGAGGAGGAGGAGAGGAGAGAGGAGGAGGAGGAGGAGGAGGAGGAGGAGGAGGAGGAGGAGGAGGAGGAGGAGGAGGACAGGAGGGAGGGGCGGGTGGGAGGAGGAGGAGGGAGGAGAGCAGGAGGAGCAGGGAGGAGCAGGGACAGAGGGAGGAGGAGGAGGAGGTGGAGGAGGGTCGGAGGGAGGAGTGAGGCGGAGGGGGGGAGGAGGGATGAGGAGGCTCACTTGGCCTCCCCTGAGGCCCTGCGTGGCCGCGGCCACGCGCAGCTCGAGCAGCCGACTGCCGGGATGACGGCCGCGCGTGGCGCGTGATCGGAGGGGGGGTGCTCGCGGTGCTGGCCCGGCGCCGGGCCCCACCGCCGAGGCTGCGATATCGACTGGGTCATGGAGCACGTGGGTACCCCATACGTGTACACGTGGGAGATCGACGCCGACGACGACGACGACGCCGCTGACGACGCCAACGCCGCCGCCGCCGCCGCCGACGACGACGACGACGACGACGGCGACGGCGGCGACGACGTCGGCGGCGGCGGCGACGACGGCGGCGGCTGCGACGACGACGACGGGGGCGGCGGCGTGCCGTGCGGTACCGCGGGAAACAGCATGGACAGCGGCTTATGGTTTAGACACGCACGTTTGAGCCGGGCCTGTCCCTCGACAGTGGGAATGTTCAAAAATCGTCAAAACAAAGTTTGGGAAGGATTTGTTGCGTATTGTTTGACCGTTTGGGAGTATGTTTTACTTATTTTGATTTTCTCGTCCCAGAAATCCGCCTGTGGGGGACAGGCCCGGCTGAAACGTACGTGTGCGCACCATAAGCCACCGTACATTTTGTTCGCGTCACAAGTGCTCTGTATCGGAACGGCGGTCATGGCCCACACGGGGTCACACAGCCCAGTTGGGTCACAGGGCCAACACGGGGTCACGCCAGCCCCGTTGGGCTCCCGAGAGCTCCCCCCGAAGGCTCCCAAGAGGGGTCACACAACGTGCCCGCCCACACGGGTGTGCGACTTCCGCGAGTTGGCAGCGCGACGGAATGGACGCAAGCGTTCGGAGCACCGCGCGGATGTCTTGGATCGGCGCTGGGGCCCTGGCCGACAGAAACCTTGCGCGGCGATGGGGCCCAGCGATTTGGCCGCGACCCTGCACGGCGTAGCGTTTTTTGTTCCGCTCGAAGAAAGAAACAACGGCACAAACCATACACTCTATGAGCTCCGCGCGGCTCTCGTGGATCGGGGCTGGGCTGTCCCCCTGGCGGCGCCGCCAGCGCCGCCCCCGGCGCGCTCCTCGCGCCATGGAAGGGGACCCCCGCGCCCAACCAAGAAGTCCGCGTGCACCTCACACAACTGTTGTTTGTGAAGAAAGAGTTCCTGCGGGAAGCGGTGGAGGGGCGGTGAGAGGGGATGGGAGGTGGCAAGCAATGGTGGGGTGCCCAGCGCCGATCGAGGATGTCCGCGCGGATTGCCGGACGCTTATGTTTGTGCCGCGCCTCTACCAGGAGGGCGAGTTCCTCACGCCGCCTGCGCTTCCAGGCACAAGCAAGTCGCACCACGCGTTTCCTCGTCCAGCAGTCTGACCTTCGCGGGTCACGCCACGGGCAGCTTGGCAATGCATGGTTCCCGTTTGGAAGTTCCTCCTACTCCTCCTCCTCTTCCTCCTCCACCTCCTTCTCTTCCTTATCCTCTTTCTTCTCCTCCTCCTCCTCCTCCTCCTCCTCCTCCTCCTCCTCCTCCTCCTCCTACTCATCCTCCTCCTCTTCCTTATCCCTAGCCATTTCGGCTCAAGCCGTGTTCCCCGTTTTCTCGGCAGCCTTTTCGCCCATGGTCGGCGACTCGGCGGCGGCGGCGGCGGCGGGCGCGTCTTGGATGTCTGCGGGGGGGCTGCCCGCCGATGTGGCGGCCCAGTGTCCTGAGGATCATGGAGAAGGATTCCCTGGGCGCTTCCGCGGCGAGGCGTGCTGCGCGGTGGCGCGGGCGCGCGGCTCTGGAAGCAGCGCTGCGGCCGCTGGTGGCGGCACGGGGCGCCCTGGGCTCATGGGTGGACCGCGAGCGCGCGTCGAGGCCGCCTCTGCAGAAGACTGCAGCAGGGGATCGTGTTCCTGGCGTCATGCATCCCGGGCGGAACACGGCCTGGCATGCGTGCCGCGTGCCGCCTGTCGGGTTCGCGGCCGCGTCCTCGGCGGCGTTGTCCTTGGCTGCTGCGGGGCCCCGTCTGGGGCACACGCCTGGTGGCATGCGGGCCGAGGCCATGCAGTGCAAGCCGCGGGCTGCCTGCCGCGCGGTGGGGGTGCACTGCAACTGTGGTACTACAGTGTACGCGCCGATCCAGGCCCCTGCAGAGCAGATGCCGAGCGTGACGGAGCCCGAGCGTGGCACCGAGCAGAGCGAGAACGTGGGCGTGGACTCGGAGATGGCTGGGCGGCGCGGGGGCGTCGACGAGGCTGCTGAGGAGTTCGCGGAGGCGCATGCCTCGCAGGCGCCGAGTGCAGGCGCAGGGGTGCAGACTGACGGCAAGACGGGCGAGAAACGCCACGGAGTCCGCGCAGGGCGAGAGCGTGGACGTGGGCTTGGAGGTGGCTGCCCGTCGCGGGGCTCATCCTGAGTCGCTTCGGAGCGCTGGCGCGGCCGTGGCGTGTGGCTACCCTTGCGATGCACGACGTATGGAGGCGGCCGAGGGTGCTGCGACGGATGTCTCTTTTGCGGTGCATGGGGGGGCGCGTGGCGGAACGGTCGCCGAGAAGTTCATGGACGCGCAGGTCTCGCTGGCGCCGCTGGCAAGCGCAGGGCTGGGCGACGGCGTCTCGGAGGCTGCCGCGGTGCCGAGGAGGAAGGGTCGCTGTCGGGAGCTGCCGGAGAAGGCCGAGCGCGACGGCCGTTCTCCCTTCCCTCCCGAGATCATGGCCCAGCTCCTCGGCCGCAGGTGACGCTGCTCCACTTCGGCGTCTCTGAGGGCCACGTCACGGTCGGGGGTTCCAGTGCTGGTCAGGTCCAGCTCTGGCCCCCCGCGGGCGCACGTGTGTGCATTTTCCGCCATCTCCGCCATCTTCTCCTCTCCCTTATCCTCCTCATCCTCATCCTCCTCCTCCTCCTCCTCCTCCTCCTCCTCCCCCTCCTCCCTCTGCTTCTTCTTCTTCTTCTTCTTCTTCTTCCTCCTCCTCCTCCTCCTCCTCCTCCTCCTCCTCCTCCTCCTCCCCCTCCTCCCTCTGCTTCTTCTTCTTCCTCCTCCTCTTCTTCCCCCTCTCCCCCATTCACCCTTCTCCCTCGTCAACACGAGCACAGCCAGACGCCCATGCCGACGTTCGATCGATCGATCCTCCTCCTCATCATCATCTTCTTCGTATCCCCCCCTCCTCCTCCTCCGCCTCCTCCTCCTCGTCCTCGTCCTCGTCCTCGTCCTCATCCTCGTCCTCGTCCTCGTCCTCCTCCTCTGCCTCCTCTTCCTCCTCCTCACACATCCTCCTCTGCCTCCTCCTCCCTCTTCATTCTGGTCCGGAGCGAGGCTGGCTCGTCTGCCTTTTCACGCTGTCCCCTCCCAGGAGATCTACGTCGGCGACGCGATCCGCCAGGGCTACATCGAGCAGGCCCGCGAGCGGGAGGAGGAGGAGGAAGAGGGAGTAGGGGGGGGAGGGAAGAGGGAGGGGAGAAGGAGGAGGAGGCAGGAGGAGGAGGAGGAGGAGGAAAATAATGAGGGGGAAGAGGGCCGTAGCCATTTTGGTTCAAGCGGCCGTCAGCTCAAATCACACAACGTTGTTCCTGGCAGCCTAGGGCGCCATCAGCGGTCCCTCAACGCACCCGACCTTGGCACGATCCTTGCACCAAATAGCCGCGCCCACTGTTACGACACCAACAGCAGCAATTGGATCACCTACGCACATGACACACGACAGCACCCCCACCTCACCCTGGAGCGACAGCAGCACTCCATCCTAGCACACGGCGACGGCTACCACATTGGTAGGCGCAGAATAGTGGGTTCATTGTAAAGCAGGGCTTCAAAACGCGCCGTGGTTTTCTCACCCACCGCTCAACCGACCTTCCATAGCACCATACAGCGTCCACACCAGCAAGGGAGATGAGATGCAGCGAGACATAAGGAATTGTGGCGGTGGCACAACACCGCCAGGGGGCACCCTTGGACGCTGCCAGCAAAGCTTCGTGCTTCGCATTCAGAATATTGAACTGCGAGCCCAGGCTGTTCACGTTGATGTCGATCATCTGCTGAAGCGAAACAGGGTTCTGAGACAGAGAAGAGATCTGCGCCTGTACGACCGACAGGTCCACAATGTGTGTAGGCTGCAGGGCTGGCGTCGGCGCTGGCTGTTGCTGCGCTGGCATCCTCCACGGCGACTGCGGCGCAGAGCCTCGGCCACGATCTCCACCTATCTCTCGACCTTCGTCGGCGTCCATGGCCACTGGTTCGCCGAGGGGTTCTTGTGTCGGTGGCTCCATGGACTCTATCTCCGTCAACGCCTGCTGATGCCTTGCAACCCATTGCTCTGAGATCTCTCTCTGCATTCGAAGATCGTCCAACTCTGCTTCTTTGGCACGAACGGCCAACTCATGTGAATCCAACTTCGCCTGCGATCGCTGCAAGGCAGCCCGCTGGCGGTCTCTTTGCTGCTCCCAAGGGCGGCAAAGGTGGATAGCTGACAACAGAACTGCATACCACTCTCTCTCGTCCTCGCTGATGTCTCCGGCCTGATCCTTCATGCGAATCGTAGCTGCCAACACCTTCATCTCTGCCCTCCTGCGACTGATATACTGCTTCCTGCCTCCATCAGTCGCGTCCTCTCCAGGACGTCGGGAAAAGCGATGACGATAGACCGCATGCGCAGGCAGAACAGCAAGGATGTTGAGCGGGGCTGCTCCGTGGGCCGAGGAGTCCTCCTCCTCGTCGGCAAGCGTAACCGACGGCGAACGTGTACGTGTATTCTGCCTCGTCTGACGTGCACCCCTCGACCGTCGGCGTCCCTAACTCTGAGTTTCTTGCGAGTCGGCTTGAGACTGCGACTGCTGGCGAGCCCACGGAGCTCTCACCATACCGTCGGCTGACTGGCTGCTGCTGTTGCTGTGCACGCTGTCCTTGCCCTCGTGGCACCCTCTGCGGAGCCCCCCTCTGCGGCGCTTGGCCACGGCCACGGGGGAGCTGCGACGCTGGATCTGGCATGCACGATGAACAAAGCTGACACTCGAACGAATTGACCGAACCACATCTCTCACACAACCAGTCGTCCTGCATCGACTGCTGGGCCGAGTGATGACTCAATAGACGTGTCTGAGCTGCTGCGACCCTTACCCACAGTCTGTCGTCGGCACGCCTCTGCCGAGCACGTCTGTGCCAGGCGCCCTCAGACACTTCACGCGGAATTGCGGCTGGCCGCGGCACTGGCGGCCGGCGCGCTAGGCTCGATTCGGTTAGGATCTGGCAGGAAAATTTCAAAATTGCCAAAACCAAAAAGCTCCGCCAGGAAAGGTCTCTGACGGCTCAAGCCTTAGGAGGAGGAGGAGGAGGAGGAGGAGGAGGAGGAGGAGGAGGAGGAGGAGGAGGAGGAGGAGGAGGAGGAGGAGGAGGAGGAGCAGGAGCAGGAGCAGGAGTAGGAGCAGGAGCAGGAGCAGGAGCAGGAGCAGGAGCAAGAGCAGGGAGGAGGAGGAGGAGGAGGAGGAGGAGGAGGAGGAGGAGGAGGAGGAGGAAGAGAAGGAAGAGGAGGAGGAGGAGGAGGAGGAGGAGGAGGAGGAGGAGGAGGAGAAGGAGGAGGAGGAGGAGGAGAAGGAGGAGGAGGAGGAGGAGTTTCGCTGCCCATAGAGGGAAAACATCAAGGGGAGAGAGAGGGAAAACCGGGGGGGGGGGCGCCCATCAAAGGTGAACTTTTTGCTCGCAGGCAGGGCCCGGCCTGGGCCCGCCGATCGGCCCCCCCCCGAAACTCACCCTCCGGCCTCGGGATCGGCTCCCGCCGCCTCTCTGGCCCGGGCCCCGGCCCGGCCCGCAGGGACCCTCCGACCGCGAGCTCCTCTGCCTCGGCTCCGCTAGCCGAGGCCGCGCGCGGGCAGCACGGAAGCAGCCCCGAGCCTGGGGGCCAAGAGGGCTGCCTCGAAGGAGGGACCGCCCTCGGAGCCGCGGGCCCCGCCGGAGCCCCCTCGAGGCCCTCGCCGAGATGCCGCGCGAAGCGCGCACGAGTGACCTCCGATAGGGGACTCGCTGGGCCCAGTCGACACGAAGGGACCTTTCGACGGAGGAGATCCATCCCGCAGCCTCTTGCGCACAGAGTAAATGCCGAGCCGCCCTTGATAGGTCTCGTCACAAGGCACAGCACTCTGAACGATACAATGCCTGTTGACCCTCCAAGGCTGCACACCACGGCTGACTATCCACTCGGGCTTTACTGAGGCAGGGCCCAGAGGGGGAGCAGCAGCAGCAACAGCAGCAGCAGCAGCAGCAGCAGGAGGCTCAACAGCAAGAGGGACGAGAAACTGGAAGTGGGGTCAACCTCAGGGATGTCCTCAATAAAAAATCCCTGGTGGACAACTCCCTTATTCGACCTTCCTTTAGAAAATAAAACGCCCATATTATCTCGTCTTCGGGAGGCCCCCATCAAGGCTGAAAGACTAGCCGAAGACGTGCAGGCCAGCCGAGCTATCCACTGGCACCCTTCCACCAGCTGCACATCTGACTCCAAAGACCTGCCCAGGGTTATCCCTTTTTGCGCAAGTCGGTCCGCCGCCGAGTTGCCATCGCGGTCGAACTCGGAGATTGGCTCGCGCTCCACGCCTGAGGCCATGGTGTGGGCTTTGACGTGGTCGAAGGGCCAGGCCGCAAAATTCTCCCCGCCGTGAACTCTGCGCCACAGATGGGCGCGCGGGTTGCGAGGGCTGGTGGACGTGGCCACCAAACGGCAGCAGCTGAGAGTGCTCTTGCAGTAAGAAGGATTGCAAAAAAACGAAGGATTGCAAAAAAGGGTTTTTTTTTGCAATCCTTGGTTTTTTGCAATCCTTGGTTTTGTTGCAATCCTTCGTTTTTGCAATCCTTCATACCTGCCCAATACATGCTGGGAGCACATCAAAAAACAGCGCAGCCCTCGCCGTCTCGATCTGTGTGCCCGAGACTCCGAACTCGGGCGGGACCCGCCCGAACAATGCCCCTACGTACCTTCGCTCGGCATCGTACACCTTAGGCGATGCTTAAGAAAACTAAGTTTTCGGCCAGAGTCTCGATTATTCTTAACGTTTCAATGTAAATCTTAAGATTTTTATGGAAATGTTGGGTTTTTATTCAAGTTCTGAGACAATGAATTTCTTAGCCCATGATTTCTTAAGCATTTCGCACGGTGTAGAGCACCGCTGCCCAGCCGGCAACTCGCAATCGCGGGTGGAGCTGATCCAGCCCCGATCCGTCCGCGAGCGCAGATCCTCCTTCCAGGAGGATCGGCAGCTGCACGCCTGCAGTGGTAGAGAGCCTCCGAGCTGGACCGAATGGTCTGCGCCCCCGCGCACTGGCCAGGCTCAGGAAACACACCGCGCGCAAATCGCTCCTTCCAGCCTTCGGGACTGTCGGATCCTAGCGGCCGCCTTCTTGAGCTCCGCCGGGAGCGGGGCACTAGGAGCGCCTGTGAAACAGCGTTCCCCGAGCTCCCTGGCAAACTTCAGGCAGGGTGGGCTCCGAGTCGTGGAGCGGAGCTTGGGTCCAATGGGACCCCGAAACTAAACCTCGCAACGCATTTTGCTCGTGCCGGTCCCGGGTGCCCGACCAGTCCGAAAACAAGCGCTCTCAAGGATCGGGCGCCAGCAGATGCCTGAGGCCCAGGCGGAGGCGTCCTGCAGCGACAGCGCGCGAACGTCCGAAGCCCCGCGGGCGGCGAACGAAATCGGAGTCGCCACGCACGCGGGAGAGTAAAACGATAAGTCCCACTCCACTCCCCGATCGTCCACCGCCGTCCCCGCAACCTTGAAAGTCCAACCTACGCGTTGGACAGTTTTGACCAAGGCCGCCACTGGGTCCCTGCAGATGGCCCATGGCCTTGTTGAAGCAGCGTTGGCCTGGCCGGCCGAAACGAGCGCCTCAAGAACTGGTCTGGACAGTTGCGCGTCGCCGGGGACTTCGCAATACTGGCGCAGTGAATCGGAAGTGGAAACCACCAACGGGTCGCGCCTCCAACTTTGTCGCCCGCAGCCAAGGTACGGCCCCACCGACGTGCCCCTTGGGAAGCGCCCTTTCGCATGCGCCGCCAGAACTCTGAGGCCGTGGAGCCGCGTGTCCCCCAAACCGTGAACCCAGGTACCCCACATAGCGACTGCTGTGTGGCCGGCGCGGTGCGCCCTAAAAATGGTGGCCCCCGCTGCCCTGCAGCGTGCGCAGCTTTAGAGCGCCCGACGCTGGGCTGCGAGATACCTATCAAGACGCGTGCTGATCCTCCGAAGCCACCCGTCCGTAGCGTCCCCGCCCGGATCTTTGTGAGAGCGCTCTCGGTCCGCCAGCTGCAGGGGCAGCACCGCCAAGATATCGGCAGCCAAGCCCGACGAATTGGCCAGGAAGCTTGCTTTACCCAACAGGATCGGAAGACCTCGTTCCTGGACCGCATCCGCCACC